ACAAGGCTAGGGTGGAATTCTTACCTGTCCTGGCGGCCCGGACCCCTTACCTACCGGGCGGCGTATGGATGTGTAGATGATGTGGCCTGCGGGGTCACCAATGTGCAAAGCAACTTTTTCCTGCAAGGTTCTGGATGGGTGCTTTCATACACCCCCTACCTTCACGCTTCTGGAGCGGGAGTTCCGATCCCCCTTCGCCTGCCTCAGCTCTCTCTCTCATTAACGCCTGAGGCAGCGCTCTTCCCCGTTGGTGCGCCTGCCCTACCTCAGTGTCTCTACTTGAGGACTGGTCAGCCCGAAGGGAAGCGCTATACTGGCGGTCCCCACGTGGGGGGTCTCCCAGATCAGCAGGGTGGGAGGACCTCCAGTCCTGAGGCATTTCTCCCAGTATTGTGCCAGCCCCTTGACTGCCAGCTGCCACCTTGGGTTTGCTTTTACAGCAGAGTACTGCCTGGATTAGGGGCACGGCTGTATGTAGGGTGTAGGTGAGCTTGGAGAGCCTGTGGTCAATCCCTAGTTTGAACCAGGGGTCCCATTGGTGAAGTGGGCAGGGGATGGCGGGGGCTTGGTGGGCTTGCCTCAGCAGATGGGACAGGAGGGTATGGAAGTGGCCTAGGAATGAGGCAGTGCTGGCAGGAGTTGGCTGGAGCTGGGGCTGGGGGCCCCACTAGATAAATAACTCCTAATTCTTGAGATAGCTGTGTTTTGCCACCAGAACATTACTGCTTGGGGGAGGTGAGGGACACTCCAACCAAAGACACTAGTATGTCCACCCTGAAGCTGGGCCAGGTTGGGGACCTCTGTCCTCCTGAATTCACCCAGGTAGTCTCCCAGTAGTTGTTATCCTAGTTGCAGAGAAGGGAAAACTGCACCCAGGGGTTGGGAGCCTCATCTCAGCCCAGGGGGTTGAGGCCTCTTCCCAGGCTACCCAGGGGGTGTGCCAGGACCCCATAGGGTATAGTGTCTAAGCAGGCGGGGGCACAGGCACGCCTACTCCTGCTGCTCCCCCTCAGCTCCGAAGGAGCCAGGCCCGGAAGTGGGGAGGTGGGGGCTGGAGAGAAAGCAGGGGCCAGAGAGAAGGCAGCAGCCCAGCCTCAGCCACTCTCTGCTCAGCATACCTTGGGGGGAAGATGGAGCCAGGCTCAGGTGACCTTGACTGGGAAACCCTGGCCACAAAAGGGGGGTTTCAGTCCCAGCTATGCTGGGGTGGCTCTGCTTCCTGGTCCTTGAGGTGTTGGGGGATGGGGAAGCTGAGGAGCCAAGAAGGAGATAAAGCTCTTGTTGAAGGGGGGGAGGGAATCTGAGGGGCTGGGTAGTGGGTGGGGTGCTGTTGATAATCTCCCCATGTTCCCCCACGGCCCCTGTTCCTGCCTCCCTTCCATCCAGGCAGTCCTCAGCTCGGAGGAGCCAACCTCCCTTCCTGGAGGCAGGCCGTCCACCCCCACCCCCAACTCCAAGCCTGGGTGGTCTGGATTCTGCTGGACAGTTTGACCACCTGGCCCCCTGTCCCGCCCCAGGTGCCACCGGACTCCTTCCTCTGGCCGCCTCTTCCCTGCACCCCTTGCCAGCCCCAGCTCCACGTTTCTTTGTTCAAGCGTCTCTCCTCCGTCCCTCCCTCTCTCCTCCCTCTCTCCTCCTCCCTCCCGCCTGCCTCCCTCTCTTGCTCCCTCCCACCAGCTTTTTTCCCTCCTTCCCTGCTTTCCTCCTGGTGGGCTCCCAGGTGGCGGTGGCTGTTCCTCCTCTGTCCACTGACCTGGGCTTGGTGTGACTTGGGGGCTTTTCTGGGGCTGGGGCTAGATGACAGACATCTCGGGACTGGCAGAGGGGAAGGCACTCTGGGAATGCCCTCCCTTTCCCTCTCTGTCCTTCTTCTCCTTTTCTTCCTTCCCTCTCCTTCTTTCCCCCACCTGCCAGACTGCCCAAGAAGGGGGCTGGACTTGAGACTGAGGCCCCAGCAGACTTGAGCAACCCCCCATTCACCTCTTTAAAGGGCCAAAGCATTTGGATGGGAAGTCCCTGTAGGGACCCAGTAGAAAGACTCCCCACCTATCTGAACACATTGGGTGACTCCAATCCTGTCCTTGGTGACACTGACTTCGTCACCATGAACATGGATGCAGGAAAAAATGAGGTCATGGGGAGCGGGGAGGCAGGAGGCAGGTTGACACAAGCCCCGGATACATAGTATCGAAGCTCTCTGAGGGACTCAGACAGCATCCTGCGCCAGGACAGTATCTCCCAGCTCCCTTGAGCCCCACCCCACTAGCAGGTCAAGTTCTTGAGCAAACTCATGCTTGTAAGGACGTGTGTGGACCTGCAAGTGTGAATGTGTGCATATCCACAACTGTTATCAGGGCCTCCCAGGTGCACCTGGAGGGTGACGGTGGCTGCACAGCCATTTCTCCCACCTGCCCCCACTTCTCAGAGCCTGCCATTCAATCAGCACTAGCTTTGTGCCTCCCAGACCTGGGAAGGGGCTGGTTCTTTTTCTCCCCCCCGTCCCCCAGTCAGCCTCCCCAGGAGGGAGCATATGTGATGGGGGATCTGGAAGGACCATGAGCAGCGTGCCAGGCCCTCAGGAGAGAACATACACACAGAGGGCACTGCATAAGGAGTGGACCAAGAGGCTGAAGCTGCACTTCCTGTCTGAGGAGCCATGAGTGTTTTGCCTTGGCAGGAGAGGCAAGGGCTGGGGGAGGTGGGTCTAGGGATGTCATCAGGGTCTGATGAGTGGGGCCTAAGAGTCAGACTGCAGCCTGGGCCTCTTGCCTCAGCATTGAGCAGCTATGGCAGCGGAGTCCCAGGCCATAGTACTGCCAACTCCCATCCCAGTGTCCTAGAGATGGGCCTGGGATCCTGCCTGCCATGGAAGAAGGGAGTACACAGGGCAGATCTGGGGGATGGGGCTCATGTTTTCAGTCTGGATGCCCCCACCCGCAGTGCATCCGGTTGGGGGGGATGGTAGGAGTTGGCGCTGGTTTGTGCCGGGAGGGAGCAATATGTTCTGACAACTGGTGCTGGGCTGCGTTTACCCAACAGCCAGCCTGCCTGGGGAGACAATATTTGAAAAACAGTATTGAAACTTGGACCTGCTGGGGCTGTGGGGGATTCTGAAGGGGGCAATGCCGCTGGCCCAGATCCAGCCCCAGGCCCACTGGCCATCCTATCTTCCCTTCTTTGCCCTCTAGAGGCGGAACTGGAAGTTTTCCCTGGCAGGAAGTCCTTCTGCCTGTCTGACCTGGGTCTCTCCTGCTTTGATTTTAGTAAAAGTGGACTCTGCCATTCTCTGCCTTTCCTTTTCTGACTGGTGCTCCTTCTCTTCCATCTTGGGCTGTCTGCATGTGTTTCATTCCCCCACTCTCTCCTGTGCCTCCCCTCTACCGCAATAATCAGGTCCAGGTTTCTCTGTACTGGGAGAAGACCTGTGGCTGGAGCAGGCAGGGGTGCACCCCATCTGTTCCCCCATTCCTCCAGGTGGGAGGGAGAAGGAGTAACCCACTTTACTGGGCGTGGATGCAGGGGAGAAAGGAGAAAGCATGCTGGGAGCTGGAAAGAGCACTAAGATCACCTAGTTGGGCTGGGCCCTGTGAATGGAATTCAGCATGCTATGAGGGGTAGGGTTTGAGTCTCTAGCAGCCCCCATCAGTTCTGGGGACCCCAGGCTGGGGCCCATTGGTACTATCTCCCCAGACAAAGGCAGGCCAAACAACGCATATGAGGTGTGCACACAGGGGCATTCATGGCCCCAGGCTGGGGGTGGAAGCGTGGAGGTACCCATCAACCTCTTTGTTCACCTTGGATAGAAAATGAACAAGGGAAATGTTGGTAGGGTCAGACTCCCCCGTCTGCCTCACACATTCCAATCTTTTTTTCCCCTTCCCAGGTGTCTAGAGAGTGGAGCCTGCCTTCTGGGCCCTAGGCCCCTCCCACAATGCTTGTCGCAGGTCTTCTTCTCTGGGCTTGCCTACTGACTGGGGCCTGGCCAGCCTTCCCCACCCAGGACCACTTCCCAGCCACACCCCGGGTCCGGCTCTCATTCAAAGGTAAGAAGCTGTTTTGTTCTTCCCCAGAAATCATCCTCTCTTTACAATAGCCCTTGGCTCCTCTGCACACGAGAGAGAGGGTGGGTCAGGACAAAACCAGGACAAATTGTACAGCCACATAGGTTGTGGGGGAGAAGGGGGACTAGGGAGGTGGTGACTTGCTGAGAAAGGCTAGAGAACTGACCCACTTAGACACTTAGCAAAAGAGTCCAGAGTCTGGGCATCTTCCGGAGTCAGACTGTGGGTTCCTGAGCTGGGTGGCCTGGGGTCTGTAGGGCATGTCTCTCTGTATGATAATCGGAGAGGTGGCAATGTCACTCCTTCCAAACTTGTGTCTGCTGCGGCCCCTCCTTGCCACTGCTATGCATCTGGTCCTGCCCTGAGCAGCCCCTGGGGTGGAAGGTCAGGCAGTTGGGCAGACACTGGAGCCTCTGGAAGAGCAGGACCTGCTCTCTTGGGGTGTGGATGCTCCAGGAGCCTTCCTACAGTTTCCAAGTTGGAAGGGTTCCTAGAATCTGGGAGGGGACTGTTGGCTGTGACTGGCAGGGAGGCCACCGGTGGGTTCAGGCAGAGCACATGCTACTGTTAGGGCCTGAGCTCCTGAGCTCCAGTGAGCACTTTGATGAGAAGTCACTGGGAGGTTTCAGTGATGGGCTGGGGTCTGCAGAGTGAGAGGCTGGTCGCCCACTCCATCACCATTGCACTGAACCCACTGGGCAGGTGCACGCACACGGTACACACATGGGTGTACAGATGGCTCACTTGAGAGCCACTTCCTCAAGGGTGTGTGTCGTCTGAAGAGTCTACCCTGGGCCCAGGGTGAGGGGCAGTGGCCATGCTGGGGCCTGGGGGACCTGGGGTCATTGGGAGTTCTCAGCCTTGGCCCTCCTCTGGCCAGAGGTAACTTCATCCAGCCGCCTGCCCTGGGTGGGGTCGACTCAGCCCTGGCTGGCCAGATTTCCGGGCAGCCATATTGGGGTGAAAGGCTGGGGTGACCTTTCCTTCCTTGGGCTTGGCGGAGGCCCAGCCCCCACCTCACCATGTCCCCCAGCAGGGCCCCTCCCCTGGCCTCGTCCCACCCTGGCCCTTGACGGGAGGAGAGGGGGAGTAAGCTGCTTATCATCCCTCTTCCCAGTCACTGGTTCCTGGAATTTCTGAGGCTGTGCCTGGAAGGAGTCCCCTGCAGGGCCTGAGAAATGGGCCGAGAAGAGTTAATTTGTTTGGGCTGAAAAGCAGCCCCCTTCCCCGGCCCGGGAAGGTGAGATATTTATTCTGCTGATACCTCCACCCTTCCCTGGTGGAATTCTTCAGAGCAGATTAATAAATCTTGAAGGGGCCAGTTCCCCCGACCTCCTCCCTGGCCCAGGGTCTGGCAGTGAGAGTACAGTGTCTCCTCCCCCAACAGTGGAAGGGAGGGGTGGCTTGGTCTCCACACCCCTGGGACCTTGCGTCCACTCTGGGTGTTGTTTTTGTCATCATGCAAGCAAGCAAGCAGGAGGGGCAAGACAGAGAGAGGTCTTCCGTGTGCTCCTTCTAAGCCTCCCTGGACCTCCAGGGGCAAAGGCTTTTGTTCCTGTTTTCCAAAGAGAGAAACTGAGGCTCAGGTAAGGGCTGGGTCAAGGTCAGGCAAGAGGCAGAGGCAAAGCCAGAAATAGAACCCCGGTGTCCTGGCCTTGCCGGTGCCCACATTGCGTTGGGTCGATTCCCTCTCAATTAGCTCTGAAGCCGACACCCGCAGTGACTAAAAGCTGAGCTCGCTGGCAGCCAGCCTGGGTGCTGCCTGTCGTGGCTGCCTGGGGTGGGGCTGCAGCGTGCCTGGGGCCACCCATCCCAGGGCCCCTGTGCCTTTGCACAGGCAGGTTCCCCTGCCCTGAATGACCTTCCCTGTTCCGACCTGGCCTTGTGTCCTAATTTTGTGCTTAGACGTCACTTCCTACTATATGGCAGGCCCCGTGCTGAGTGCTGGGGACTCTGTGGTGAACAAGATGGGGTGCTCACAGTCAAGCTGGCAGAAAAAGCAATGGACACCCAGTTGGTCAGGGCCACCTGGGAGCCCAGCACCTGCTGTGTACCAGGCCCTGTGTATCCCCACACACTGGGTGGTCTCAGCCTGGTTATGCATACATGAAGTGGCCCTCAGTGAGGAGCAGGCCCTCACCAAGTGTGTGTGGAGTGAGAATGGAGACCAACACTTCAAGAAACGGCTCCCACCATCTTCCTCCCAGGGTACACGTGGGTGGCACAGAGAAGGTTACTCTCAGAAGCACTGCTGGTCACTGTGGCTCCGTGTCATAGTTATTTCATCTGTGCCTTGGATAGACACGGCAGTTGACACCCCAGGCCTACAGGAGCTCAGGCTGGGCACTCCCTGCCCTGCCCTGGGTCCTGCTGCAGTGGGGAGGTGCCAGTTCCCGCCTGGGTAGGGCTGGACCCTCCAAACTGGAGGTCCTGGCATAAGAGGCCATACTGCCCAGGGTAGATAAAGGAACAAAGGCAGGAACTGGGCCAGGCTTGGGTTTGCTGCCCGCCCATCCGCCTGGGCACCCCAGCCAGGTCTAGAGCCAGGAGGGTGTGAGGGTCAAGCAGCCCAGGGTTCCCTCAGATTAGGGGCCTCCTATGGCCCAGCTTCGGGGCTTCAGCAGCACAGCCAAGATCAGGCAGAAGTGAGTCAAATGGAAAAGATTTCCAGGAGCAGGTGAGGGGTTTGTTCATTCCTCACTCTTGAGAGAGTGGAGCCTGGGCTGAAAGCCTGGACAGACCCTCCTTCCTTCACCCATCCATGCCTGGGCCTGGAGTCCCCTTCACCCCAGAATCACTGCCAGGTCTTAGAGAAAAAGCTCTTCCTTCCCCCACCCTGAGATGACCCAGGCTCTGGGGCAACACCTCCTTCTGTGGCAGCAGCAGGGAGGTGTGAGGGCCCTGCCAGGCCCTTTGTTCAGCCTGGGGAGTGTTTACTTTTTCCCAGGAAGCTACCCCACGACACACTGCTGCTGCCTGGGCTGGGTTTGGCCAGGGATTGGGGCCAAGAGATGCTTGGTGGGGTTGAAGGACCCTGTGATGACATGAGATGGTTGTGCTGCTAGGGAAGCTGAGGCAGGAGTAGGGAGAGGGAGCAGAAGGTCACCCTGCCAGGGGAGGTCAGGAAAGATGAACATAATCGAAATAGTAGTAGGAGCCCACGAGGATAACCAAGCAATGGTCCCTCCAAGGCCTGAGGAGGGTCTGCCTAGGTTTCCTGTGAGGAAGGAGGCTTGCAGGGGCCGAGCAGCTTCCCAGGTCACTCAGGAGCAGGACTGAGATGGAGCCTGGATCTGCCTGATGCCTGAGTCTGTCCCAGGACTGAGAGTGGAGGGCAGGGATGGTGGTGGTGCTGGAGGCACAGACCTTTCGCATGAGCTAGGAACAAGGAAGATTCCAGTATTCTGCAGTTCTGGTTTAGCCTTCCTAGCCTCATTTCCCAAAGAAAGGGCTGGGGTTGCATTGGGCAGGCTCCTCATGCCCTCTGTCTGCTGAAGCAACAGAATTGGGGTTTGCTTATTTCCAGCCTATAAATCCAGCCCTCCATCACTCCAGCCCTTCCACTGAGCAGGGTCCCTAGGAAAGCCTCTCATGTCAGAGATGGGAACACCAGGGCCTAAGAGAGGAAAGGGCTCCTGTTCCAGAGCAGCCTGGAGTTTGGGTCCTCTGGGCCAATGGCCCAGAACAGTGCCACTGCTCACATCATTTGCATGTGGCATCAGAGGACCAAGGTTGTCAGGTTTGGAGATGATGAGGTTAGAGATTAGGAAGGGTCACAGCCCATTGACTTCCGCTCAGGAGTTGGTGTGAGTTGAGGTGCCTCTAGCAAGCCTTGATGGGGCCTTAGCCCTCAGGCCTGGTGCAGGAGTAGGGGTGGGGCTGGAGAGCTAGAGGATCAGCTCTTGTCCCCCAGGGGCTCCTTGGCCAGCCAGAGCAAGGCATGGGCTTTGGTGGGGGAGGAGGGGGAGGAGGCCCAGGAGCTTTGAGGCCAATGTGGCACCAGGGAGCTGGGTGGGAGTCAGGAGGCTCTGGCAGCTACAATGGGGGTTGGAGCTCACAAGCCAGGGAGGGTGGGTGTTCCAGGATGGTGAGGGAGGAAGGAAGACTCAAAGCATGAACTTGAGCCCAGATCCCTTGAGCCCAGATCTGGAGTTTCAGTTTTCTGGAAATGGGAGCTGCCTTACTCCTGAGAGACTTGGAAGTAGCCGCTTTGGAGTTGGGAGGTCCTGGAAGCTGCCCATCCCCCAACTGGCGAGGAATTGGTCTTTGGAGAGAATGGAGATAGGGTCCTTGTGCTTGCCTGAGAACCTGCCTGACGCCCAGCCTGGGTCAGCCAGGCCAGGCGCTGGGGCTTTCAGATGTGGCCTTCCAGATCCAGTGGAGCTTCAGATGGGACCGCCACTGGCTGGGCCTCCACAGCACAGGCCTTGTCTCTGGTTCCCTGGCATGATGCCTGCCCCTCCCTCCCTGGCTCCAGCTTCCCTTGGCACTAAGCGAGGAGCTGGTGCATGCTCAAGGAGTAAATCATGTTCCTTGGCAGCCCCCGCTGCTTCGTAATCGTAAAGAATTTAAAGAGAAACCGCCAAGATAAAAATCTCACCCCAGCCCATAAAGGCATCTTTCACCCTGCAGCTTGGGAGACAGTGAACCTCAGAGTGGGCTCTTGCCTGTCTGCACCTGTGTGTATGCACCTCCGGCCCCTTGACCCCTCCAGAGGTGGTAATAGCTTAGAAGGTGGCTTTAGGGCCATGGGTACCTGGTCCTTGACTCCTGGGAGACCTCCATCTCCTCACTCAGGAGAGTGGAGTGCTTAAATTTGGTGTAATGCAGAAGTGGTGGTGGTCGTGGTTGAGCTGGCTGGTCTTAAAGGCAAAACCCAGTTCTACCAGTGTTAGCTGTGTAAGTCCAGCCAAGTGGCTTAGCCCCTCTGAGCCCTGGTTTCTCCTGTGTAAGGTGGGAATGGCAGTGGCCCTGTGGAAGCA